GAAACCATGAAAGAGAACAAAGGAGTATATATGGGAGATTCTGAAGAGGGTTAGGGGTGACATAATTTTACTATAATCTCATAAAATAGCCAGTCTGGTCTACAGAACTAGTTCCAGGACAGCCAGGGCTACACATAGAAACCTTGTCTTGAAAAACAGAAGAAAACAAAGCAAATCTCATGAAATGAAAGAAATAATTTAAAAAACTTTTTTTGGTATTTTATGTGCATTTATATGAAGGCATTAGAACCCCTGGAACTGGAGCTGTAGACAGTTGTGAGCAGCCATGTGGGTGCTGGGAATTGAACCTGGGTCCTCTGGAAGAGCAGCCAGTGCTCTTAACCACTGAGCTATCTCTTCAGCCCCAAAGAAATAATTTTTAAAATATTTTAAAATTTAAATTTAATTATTTTGGTTTTTCAAAACAGGGTTTCTCTGTTTCGCCCTGTCTGTCTTGGCACTCACTCTCAATCAGGCTGGCCTTGAACTCACAGAAATCCATCAGCCTCTGCTTCTCGAGTGCCGGGATTAAAAGCGTGTGCCACCACCACCTAACAAAAGAAATGATTTGCAAAATGAGTAATCTGAGAACAGTTCCTTTTTTCTCTTTCTCTTCTTTTCGGTTTTGTTGTTGTTGTTGTTGTTTTGTTTTGTTTTGTTTCTTGAGACAGGGTCTTACATATCACTATATAGCTCTGGATGTCCTAGAACTTACTGTGTAAACAAAATTTTTAAAAAGATGAGAAAACATTTCTCCGGGCGTGGTGTACTGGCTCATCCGTGAGATCTCCGTGCTCAGGAGGACGGGACGGGAGTAGTGCTCAGGAGGATGGGGCGGGAGTAGTGCTCGGGAGGATGGAACGGGAGCAGTGCTCGGGAGGATGGAACGGGAGTAGTGCTCGGGAGGATGGGACGGGAGTAGTGCTCAGGAGGATGGGACGGGAGTAGTGCTCAGGAGGATGGGACGGGAGTTCCATCCTTCCAGTTCAATGCCAGCCTGAACCGCACAGTGAGCTCCAGGCCAGCTCTCTCTCCCCATATTCTCCCCTACAACTTTCTCTCTCCTAACCCTCTCCACCTCAGTTCTCTCATTCCACCCCCTTTTGTCGATATCTATCTGTTTATTTCCGTTTCCTAATCGTATTGATCTGTTCTCTCAGGCCCTTACTCTGTACCCACCCACTGTGATTCTAAGGATTGTAGCCTGGTGGTCGGCCCGCAGCAGGATCCCGAGCAGCCCTCTACAGCTCTGACGTCTGAGTAGGTCTGGGTAAGGAAAGCATTGTTTCTTTTGAGTTGTGTTACTAACGGTGTGAATTGGATGTCAGAAGGCCCAATGGGAGCAGGTTCTCTGGGATGGCTTGAAAGAAATGGTCAAACAAACGACCAGGAAAGAGTAAAATTAAGAGGATTGAGGGGAGTCTGCAAAGTAGTTCCCTTGGGAGAGTTCTGACCCAGAATGCTCCAAGCTGAGTGTGGGGGGACTCTCCTGTAATTCCTGAACCCCAAGTGTGGTGGATCAAGAGGATCAGGAGTTTGGGGTTATCCTTAGCCACATAGCGAATCTGAGGCTATCCTGGGTTATATGAAACCCTTTCTCAGAAAAATAATGTTTTAAATCAGCATGTATTTATAGAAAGCAATGGACTTCAGTATGACATTTCATCGAGACATATAATACAATCAGGTCATGTGTGCCCTGTCCATCTTTTTCTTGCTTGAGAACATTGTACAAGCATGTAGCACATTTCGGTCAAATCCACCCCGGTTTCCCTTCCCTCCAATTCCTCCCCTGTCCTCCCTGCTATTTCCTCCCCAACTGCATGTGTGTGCACTTTAAGGAAACCAAACCCACTATTCATCTATAGTCTCTGTCCCCGAAAGGTCCTCTCTCCCTCTCTATTGAAAGTCTCTCCTCTACGGAAGTCACGGCTCTTTAAAAAAAATCTAGGTTCTGCACGTGCAAGAGAAAATGAAATATGGAATTATTATGGAATCTGGCTTATTTTTGCTTAAAATGATTTCCATTCCAAATTTTCCTGCAAATAATGTAATATTGTTCCTCTTTTTGGCTGAATCAAGCTTCATTGTATTTCTCTATGCATTCATCTCTACACCTGTTTTACTTATTCATTCACCTGTAGTTGAATTGTTTTCCCTAAAACTTCCTAGGTGCTCAGGCCTCATGTTGTGCCCTGATATTGATTCCTCTGAATAAACATTCCATAGCCGTATCATAGTGTAGCTCTATTTTTTTGTTTTCTTTTTAATAGTTATTATGTGAGTTTTTGTTGGTGTTTGTTTTTTCTTTTCTTTCTTTCTCTTTTCTTTATTTCTCCTTTCTTTTTTTCTTCCTTCCTTCCTTCCTTCCTTCCTTCCTTCCTTTCTTTCTTTCTTTCTTTCTTTCTTTTTGGTTTTTCGAGACAGGGTTTCTCTGTAGCTTTGAAGCCCGTCCTGGAGCTAGCTCTTGTAGACCAGGCTGGCCTCGAACTCCCAGAGCTCCGCCTGCCTCTGGCTCCCGAGTGCTGGGATTAAAGGTCTGCGCCACCACTGCCCGGTTTAAAGTTTTTTTCTTCTACGTCTTGTGGTTTAGAATGATCAGGTCTTCCTGATGTGTGACCACTGGGTTCTGGTGTTACCATGTTGTTTTTTAGGTTGTTAGAGGAATTCTTGCATTGGTGCCCACCCATCTCTTCCTTCAAATGAGGCCGGCAGTGTCTTTGCATCTCGACCCAATCCTTGCAGTGGCTGTCTGAGTTTTTGGGAACTGTTCTTGGTCTGCTCTGTCCTGTCAATGTCTGTCTCAGGGAGCCTCTGAGGTCTCTATACACCTGCTCTCTTGGTCTTCTCTCCTGGTTTGCTCTCTGGTGCTCTGTCTTAATCCCCTCAGTGTTGTAGCCAGCTCTTAGTACCCTCAGTATTCTAGCAAGCTCGCAGTTCTTAGGCACGGTATGGTTAGTAGCTTGGGGGGTCCAGGGGATAGGTTTGGGTTTGGGGGGAACCTAGACACAGGAAACTTCTGCTGGCTGTGTAGAAAAGCCAAAATAGTTGGGGAAGGGCCCCTGGGTTTTATCGCACAGGGGAGGCCCTAGAGAGTGGGGCATCCTGCCTCTGGCTGTTCACTCACCTCTTAGGTCCCCTCAGTACTGGAACAAGCTGTGTTTCAGAGTTCCACCGAAACTGCAGGTGAATAGCTGTGTCAGTTTTGACACTGGTCTAATGTAGCCTTGCTGGCCTCACACTGATTTCTTTCCTTCCATCTCTTTTCTTTGGTTTAGGATTTGTGTTGCTTTTTTTCTCTCCTTTTCCTTTCACTTCCTTTCCCTTTCTTCCTTTGTTCCTTTCCTTTTGTTTCCCTTTCCTTCTTCTCATGAGACTGTGTCCCCTTCATAGCCACTCTTGCCTCACACCTGTCCATTGCTTAGCCCCTCCAGTGCTGGAATTATCATAATTTATAGTTGCATAGATCACAATTGTCTGTGTGTGATCCTAGGGACTGAATCTAAGTCTTGTCAGTGCTGAGTGCTTTAACCTCTGACCTATGCCTTCAGCCCCTCAAATATTCATATATGTACTCATTGATGTGTATCTATGACCACTGCAGGGCTGTGTATCTGAATCCTGAATCTGCAATCAAAAGGCCAGCACCAGAGGTGATCACTCACAGCCTCAACCTTTCTACCGCTTGCATTTGCATGAGAGAGTAGAATTGGACCAGAGCTCCAACTGTATCAGCAGCAGCAGCAGCACAGAGGCACCAGTGCGAGAGGTACTCCTACCACATTATACTTAAGGTACTTACAGCTTCTGTTTTTCTATAGACAATAAAACACTGTGGAAAACAAAACTTTTAGATAAACGAGGGGGTGGGTTGTTTCAGTTCCCAGTCACGGGTTATAGTCTTCCCTTTGGGGAGTCATACCTGCAGGAACAGGAAATAGCTGAGAATGAACACATGCATACATTCTCGGTGCACAGCACTCTGTCTCTACTCTTCTGTCCTCTGGTGCCCTAAAGCAGGACACAGTGCCACTCACTTTCAACCTGGGGCTTTCCATTCTCTTTAAGGCCACCTAGACAATCCCCCAGGCCAGCCTGATCTGGACAAAAACTCATTGAGACTCAGTTTCCAGGTGATGGTTGTTGGTGGGAAGTTGACAAATAGAATCAACCATCAAAATTAAACACTGGGACAGAAAAAAAGAGAAAACTAACTCTGTCTTCCAGAGAAAGGGCACAGCACCTATAGCTCAGTGGTTAAGAGCATGATGTGGGGTTTCCTTTTATGTGCTGTGAATATGTTTTATTACCATTGGTTAATAAAGAAACTGCTTCAGCTTATGGCAGGGCAGGATAAAGCAAGGTGGGAAATCCAAAAAGAGATACAAAGAGAGTAGGTAGAGTCAGAGAGACACCATGTAGCTGCCGAAGGAGACAGATGCCAGAATCTTACCAGTAGGCCACAGCTTCATGAAAGTACACACATTAATAGAAATGGGTTAATTAAAGATGTAAGAGGTAGGTAGAAATACGCCTGTGTCATCAGCCAAACCGTGCTGTAATTAATATAGTTTCTGTGTGATTATTCGGGTCCAGGAAATGAATGAGGAGTCTTCAAATACAGACTTAAGTTCAGTTTCTAGTCCACATACAGGGTAGTTGAAAGCTGCCTGGCATGCCAGTTCTAGGGAGTCTGGACTCTGAGGACATTTCTCTCACATTTGCACAAATGCACACACATGGACATACACAATTATAATCTTTTTATTTAAAGTATACAAATAACTCCAGTTTTATTAATTGTAATCAATCAATAAATGTTGTAAATACTAAACAAAAAATGTAAGTTTTTCTGTGGTGTTGTACTTGAGGCAGAAAGAATAGACTAAAAGCCAATTCTGGTCAGTTGGTTTTACAAAAGAAATTATGATGAATACATTTTGAGTTCATAATCTCAGTGTGCATTGTGCTCTTGTATGTTTGTTTGTAGATTACACGTGTTTTCTTTGTGAAGAAAAAATGGCTCTTCTAAAGATACACGGTTTCGTCCAAATCCGAAGCAAGAACCGGAGCAAGCACACCCGGGGTTCTCAATGGAAAGAGGCAGTCATCGAAACAGTGGAGAGGAAGCAGAAGGCTAGTCTGGTGGTCTCCTTTAAGTTGGAAGGCAGGAGAAGGGTTTTCCCGCTGGGTGGTAACGTTGCAGGCGTAGTGGTTAGTTATTGTGAGGCTGGACTGCATCGTCTGCACTTAACCCTGAAAGACGACACATCCCTACTCATTGACAAGCTATCCGCCTCCGACGTTGAACAGTTGAAGTCTGTCCTGGATTCTGTTCATCCATCTGAATCCCAGCAACTCGAAGAACCAGAGAGGAATCAGGATGTTCTTGAAAGCGGCGATCTATTTTGCCGGAAGCACCAGGATACATTTTGTGGATCTTTGAATATTACACAAGAAAGTGAAACGCTGTTCCCCATGAATATGTCACTTTCAATGGCAAACTCCGCCAGCGGTTATGTTGAAGAAGAGAGAGCAGAAAAACAGAACAAGAAGCGGAAGACAATATCAACATCCACTGTAGAATTGAATGAGGTCTTTCTCAAAGAAAATAATTCTGAATCAAGAAAGAAATCCAAGAGCTACAACTCCAGGAACAAAAGAAACAAGGGAGAGAAACTGATGACCTTAAGAGACCAGGAAATGCATAACAACTGGAAACTTGAGCCGTTATTCAGCACCAACTCCTGCGGGAAACTTGACCTAGACGACACTGTTTTTGCAAGCGGATCAAAGTTTAGCCAGGAGATCCCAATACATAACGATATCCAGTCTCCTCTTGATACTTGTGCAAAGCAACTGACACGTGAAGGCTTCCCCAATTTAGGAAACACCTGCTACATGAATTCCATTTTACAGTCTGTCTTTGGGATCCCAACCTTCGCAAAGGACTTGCTCACACAAGGAATCCCATGGGAGAAAGTTTCCTGTGATGATCTCATCAAGCCCTTAAGCCAACTTCTTGTCTTGAAAGACATCAGAGATGTAGAGATCAAGGGACAGTTACTCATAAATGTGAAGAAATCCATTTCCACGGTTGCAGACACATTCTTGGGCGATGAACAGAATGATGCCCATGAATTTTTAAGTCAGTGCTTAGATCAGTTGAAACTGAACGTGGAAAAACTAAATGCCATGTGCTGTACCGAGAGGGAAAACGAAGTTGATGATTTTTTCCCACCAACATATGCTGGGCCTGCCTCCACCAAAATGTTTGTTTGTCCTGTCAGTGCTAATTTTGAAATAGAGCTGGATAGCTCTATTGTTTGTGAAGCCTGTGGTGAGGCGACCCTCAACACTGAAGTGAGTAATTACCTCTCTGTTGACCTGCACCAAGGAACAAAAGAACACCCTCTGTCGATTCAAAAGTCACTTGATCTTTTCTTTACACCTGAAAAAATTGAGCGCAATTGTGAGAAATGCAAGAACAAGAATTCCGTGCTCAGATATACTTTGAGGAGACTCCCAAGGGTCCTTATCCTTCATCTGAAACGCTACCACTTTACTGCTAACAGGTTGTTAGTGAAGAGCCAGCAGCCTGTTGAGATTTCTAAGTATCTGGATGTATCTTCCCACTGCAATGAAAACACGAAGCCACCATTTCCCTTGACCAGTCAAGGCCCTCACGAGGCCTATGATGTCCCAAATGTCTCTGAAGAAATGATGCCTGACATCCTCAGCCAGTCAATACCAGCTAAGAGGGTGACTTCAGACTTCATCGATTTCACAGTTCTACAGGTTGGCTCCAGTGAGGACGCTGAAGTACAAACCTTGCACAGGATGTATGAGGAGCTAAGTGAGGAGCAGTGGCAGAGAGGCCTTGAAAATGGTCCTAAAGTGGAGCCAAAAGCAGCGAAGAGAGAAAACAGGATGCTCAGTGAAAAGACATTGCCAGCACCAGACTCAATGATCTGTGAACCTATCAGCATCCACATTCCAGGTCTTGCAGAGATGGGTCTTCAACAGGTCTCCAAGAATTCAGAATTTAAGAAGTATGAGAAAATTAATGTATATGGAAAGTCAGATCATTACACTACAACTGAGATGTCCAATTATTTGTGTGATCTTAAAGAGCAAAACATCCTGGACGGATCTCAAGAAATTGCTGAACAGCTCCTCCAGATTCACGGGAGTAGAATCCACGCAGAATTGCTGCCTTGGGCATCACCTCAAAGTGTTCGCAGTACCGAGGAAGACACAGGAGCCAGGAACACTGATGCTGAATCCAAAAATGCAGCAATGGGAGACGATCCCCAGAACTACAGGCTCGTCGGTGTCGTCAGCCATTTTGGGAGTTCCCAAGATTCAGGCCATTATGTAAGTGATGTGTATGACTTTCAAAGGCAGGCATGGCTCCTGTACAGTGATGTCCAAGTGTTCGAGATCCCAGAGGCCTTGATTCAGGAGAATCGGCTTCACACTGGATACATTTTTTTCTACATGCGAAATGAGATTTTTGATTGGCTGTTGAAAAAGGCATCAGAGTGCAAGTTACTGAACACATCTCAAGATGAAAAGAATACAGAACTTTTTTCCACATTGCTTAATGGCTTTACATACCTTCTAGAAGAATCCTAGATTCTACCCATAAGACTCACACAGCTCAAGATTAAAACTCAGCAAACAGAACACAGCAAACAACCAAACTTATTAGGAGAGAAACCCAGACAGCTCTGATGCAGGCGATGCACCATTCTCTCTAAGAAGGCCATAATGGTGTTTTTTTTTCTTTTGTTGGGTCTTCAAAACAGTTTCTCTGTGCATCCCTGGCTGTCCTGGAACTAACTCTGTAGACCAGGCTAGCCTCAAACTCCACCTGACACTGCCTCCCTAGTGCTGGTATCAAATGTGCGTATCACCACCAGCCAGAAATGATTTTTTAAAATTATTTATGTTTATTTAATGTGCACTCGTGTTTACTTGCACATATGTCATCTGCGTGAAGGTGTTGGATTCTCTGAAGCTGGAGGTACAGGCAGTTGTGAGCTGGCATGTGAGTGGTGAGAAGTGAACCTGGATCCTCTGGAAGAGCAGACTGTACTCTTTTCCACTGGGCCATCTCTCCAGTATCAGGAGGGTGACTTTTAAAATACCATTCTGAACCAACACAGCGAGGAACTGGTTTATGGTCCAAATGTTAGGGTCCAGCATCATAGGCGGTTCAGAAACAGTACTGATGGACTTAAAAGTTTGAGAGACAGTGTGCGGAATTTCTCATTTGTTAGTGTAAATATGAATTGATTATGTCATCGAGAGGATTTTCATTATTGTTTGTTTCTCCTAGATTCATAGATACTGTTCTTTTGTCAATTTATTAAAACCACTGCTTTCTGTATATGTTTGATTCATTGCTGATGAAATTATCTAGCTGTCAACCAAGTTGTTTATGCTTCCTTCAGAATTGCAGGGCATAACATCTGGGTTACAAGCAAATGAAATAATAGATAGTCTGGCAAATTTGCAAATTCTAAGCCCTCTAGGGGCTCAGTGGGTAAAAACCCAGCCACCAAGCCTGATGACTCTATTTCTGCAAGTTGTGCTTTGACCTCTAGAGGAGGTAATAAATACATGTACATATCAACGCATAAATAACTGAACAAATAAGGTTTTGAATGTCACTATGTTGCTCTGGGTGGTTTGGAACTCTCTATGTAGATCAGGCTACCCCCATTCTCACAGACTCGTGCTGCCCCAGCCTCCTGAGTGCTGCTAAGTCTGCACCACAATACCTACCATAATAAAAATTTTAAATCACTCTGAAAAAAATTTAGAGATATAAATATACTTGTTAGATTTAAATCCAGATTGGCCATGCTGTGGTGGTGCACACCTTTAATCTCAGCCCTTGGGATGAAGAGGCAAGTGGATCACTGAGTTTGAGGCCAACCTGTTCTAAATAGTGATTTCCTGGACCGCCAAGGAAATACAGAGAAATCCTGTCTTGAAATCTGCCCCTGCCCCAAAAGAGAGATAAGTTAAATCCCGATTGATATGATGATGTGAGAAAATGTGCTTCAAGGGGCAGAGTCTGAGACAGACTGTCCTTCAGGTGAGAGCCTCATAGATTAACACAAACAGCATGGTAAGCTTCTGACGAGAGAGCTTTCAGATCATAAGACAAAGCAAGGTCCCCCTTAGCTCCCAAGGGAAGAAAGAGACCCTCTGCTATGAAGCAATAGGCTTACTTAATGCATAGCCCATAGTCGGTGCTTACAGCTGGTCACCTCTAATTTCTGGGCAGCAAGGGAAAGGAAAAACTAGTTGGGGTTTCTGGCTATGAAGTGTGTAGCCTTATCTGAGACATGCCACAACTCTTTAAAATATGAAAAAAAGTATAGAGTCACTTTCAAGGGTCTACAGAGATAGTTCAGAAGGTCAGAGCAAGTCAGGAGGTGGTGGCACACACCTTTATTCCCAGCACTCAGGAGGCAGAGGCAGGCAGATCTCTGAGTTCAAGGCCAGCCTGGTCTACAAGAGGAAGTTCCAGGACAGGCACCAAAGCTATACAGAGAAACCCTGTCTTAAAAAACCAAAAAAAGGGGGTACTTGCTGTGCAAGCATGAGGACCCGAGTTCAAACCCCCAGCACTCATACAACAAGCTGGTCATGGCCACATGTGCCTGTGATATTAGCACTAGGGAGCAGGCAGTGGTCAGTTGTGGAGCTCACTAACTAACCAACCTAGCCAAATGGTAAATGTAAGATTCAGTTGTGGGACACTCACCAGAGAAGACTGCTCAGACATTAGTTTTAGCCAAGTCTTTACTGGCTGGCCGGGGACTACACTGGGTGTTCAGGATCCCATTGTAATCCCAAGCCTTTCTCAGGATGAGCTTTTCAGCACAGAAACCATGTCCTGGGTTCACACACTTCAGTTAACAAGATTTGGCTAGAAGCAGAACTACAGTAGCCAAAAAAAAACAAACAAAAACAAACAAACAAAAAAACAAGGTTGGGATTAGAGACTTCCCCTTAACTGCAGGCTTTGACAACTTAGTGTAGAGAGCAAAATGTCTTGTGCACACATTCAAGTCCTGGAGTTTCAGTATGTATGCAGTGCTCTGCCTGCATGTATCCCCGCAGGCCAGAAGAGGGCGCCAGATCACATTACAAATGGTTGTGAGCCACCATGTGGTTGCTGGGAGTGGAACTCAGGATGTCTGGAAGAGAAGGCAGTGCTCTTAAGTGCTGAGCCACCTCTCCAGGCTCCTTGTCTGTGTCTTTATGTTTCCTTCTGAAAGCTCTCAGTTAAATTCTAGAACAATGTAATATCTAAAAAAGAACAGACTATTAATTTATTAAATAATGCAGTTGTTAGAGTGGTCTCTCAACAATAATCCCTTACTGTTAAAGAACCTATAGAAATTACTGTGCCTCTTGATAAAATGCGGGTTGATTATTTGTTTCTCACTGATAACAATTGACAGGTTGCAGTAGCGTGTTACTTGGATTCTATAGATAATTATCCACAATTTTCCCTCTTAAGAATTTTAAAGATGCATTGTGGGTATTTACCTAAAATTACATCTAAAAATTCTTTAGATTTTGGATTTTAAAATATAATAGAGCCTGCTTCTAATGTTTTTGTAGATGATTCTTTAAAAGGAAAAGGAACATGTATTCTATATACGAATTCCACAGGCTCCTCAAAGAGTGCCCATCCCAGGTGATAGAGCTGAAAAGTCTCAGCTTGCTATAATACATAAGCTTTAATTAGATGTTTCTTAGCCATTAAATATTTAAGTGATTTTGTTGTATTTAAATGTTGGTGACAATTTTTTTGGATGGATTAAGAAAAATCAAAGTTTTATAGTCATAAAGGATAGCATTGGGTCCCCAGTTTGCATATCCTCACCCCAAATGGTTATCCTGAAAAAAGATTATGGCTCAATATTAACTGACCTCATGTATAAATTAGCACATTGAGGAGATACTCTTTATCTCAAGATTTGTAAGTTCAATGGATATGGGTAAAATACTGTAAAATCTGTAACAAAAATTTAGCTTAAAACTCATACTAAAAGACTGACAGTTAAATCTATAACACAATTTTAGTTTGCTTTAGCATTATGCATACATTCACATATATGATCGGGTCTTTAAAAAATTAGGTCTGCTACATCTCAGCATATAAAATAGATACATTTTTATTAACAGCCACATAGTTTGCCTTCATCTTAGCTGATGCCTCATCAGGATAAAAAGTCCATGTGCCTCGTAGTCATCTTTACTAAGATAAAAAACTACATGCCACATAATTTACTACTTTCTTAAAATGACCACGTGGCATAAACCAACTAAGACAACACTCCTAATACTTAGTCTCACTAAGCCTTCTGTTTATCATTGTATCTTCCTTTTAGACTAAAGAAACAATGACAAATCTCCAAGATATTTTGGATTACAATGGTTTTTATATGATAAGTTCCTAAGGTTATAAAGGTATACTCAGGTTAACAAAAATTGATTTAGAAATGTTTGTCTAAAACTGTATAATCCTAATCTTATAAAAGCTACTAACTTGTTGTAAACTGTTAAAGATAGTTAAGGCACACAAATTAGTGGTCAATCACCTTATAAATGACTGAATGTTTTAATGTGCTCAAGACTAAGTTTATAGTCATAGTAAATACAAAAATGATGCATTTAAAAAGAAACTTTGACCTTCTATATGTTTTCAATATTAAGGTTAAAGTAAATAACTAAAAACAAAGTTTGATTAAAGTCAGGTATATTTATTAGATGGTTACAACTTTAAATCATGTATCCATTCAATAACACACTAGCAGCATTAACAAAATAAGAAATTTTATCTTCTCTTTTATTACTAAAGCTCCAATTTTAAATTTATTTTTTTGTACAACTTAACAGGTTTTAAAATGAGAATGTAAACAGACTTAGCGTGGATTAAAAAATTAAATTAAAATTAAAAATTTTTTAAAAATATTTCTTCTAAATAATCCCATGGCTCCAAAATACAAATATAGTCATATACTTCTCTTATTGACTTGGAGACCATAGGAAATTAAACCAAATTACAGCAAATAAAAAATAGATTATTTTAAAGTTTTTTATATAAAACTATTTTGGTACAGCTTAAAAGTCTGTTCCATCACACTGCCTACAGTGTGAACACTGCCTACAGTGTGAACGCTGCCTACGCAGTCAAACTGACGTCCACAGACGGGTGGGAGCCGCCCCACCTCCCTGCCGCTTGCACCTTTGCTCTCATTCACACTATCAACCTCTTCCGAACTTTTCTGTTTACATAAAAACCCTTGATTGTTTTCTCTTTCAGGATTTTCTGTGTTTATTTCTCCGGTACTTCCACATATCCTGTTACCTAATAGAAGATTCTTAAACTCAAATTTGCACTAAATTTTAAAAAGCTCAAATCTTTTCACCTCAAGTTGAAATCTTTTCAAAAAATTAATGACCACCGTTGAAATTAAATGCATCCTTTGTCTGATATATAATCAGACACTGACAAAAGAGATTGAAAAACAGCCCACAAAAGTCTAATGTTTATCAAAGCATTTTAACACAGTATAAAGACATCAGTTTACGCCCAGCTTCTAGGACGTAATGATTGGACATGCACTGGACAACCTGAAGCTACGGCTGTCTATGTCTGGGACATTCTCTGCTATCAGGTGTGTCGCAGAGATCTGTGCTAAACCTCACTGTGGACAAGTGCC